CCTTTGAAACTGCTGAATCAATTTCAGCCAAACTTGGGCTGAATGAGTTTCAGAGTATCTAGTATTTCCTTGTACGTCAAGAAACATAGCCACTATGGCTAAAATGGAAACATAGGGGTAAAATGCATTTTTTTGCTTTTGAAGAAAATATGATTGATACAAAGAACATTTAAATGGCATTTTTAAGCCACTCAATAATATATATTGAAAAGCAAAAACAATCATTGATGAAAGATTTAAGCAAAAAATTACAGGTGAGCGATTCAGGCTCTTGAGAGCCTCTTGTATTAATTTCAATCCTCTGATTCCACTTTGACTCATACAACTTCATACATAAAGGAATCTTGGTTATCATGGTAATACACTTTGCAACATAAGAATTGTAATAAATAAAACTAGAGGCTCCAAGGAGCCTGTGTCGCTCACCTGATATTTTTATTTACAATTGATGCATAAAATAATGCAACCGTTATACATTTGCTTTAGTTTCAGAGATATAAGTCAAAAACTGCATTTTCCCCATAAGTTCTATTTTTAGCCATGTCTGCCATGTTGGTTGGCAAGCAGGGTCATCGGACACATATTTTAAGCTAGATACCCTAGTGATGATTGTGGCCAAGTTTGGTTAAATTTGTCTTAGTTGTTTCAGGAGAGAAGATTTTTGTAAAAGATTACAAAAATTTACGAAAAATTGTTAAATTTGACTTTAAAGGGCAATAACTCCTTATGGGGTCAATTGACCATATTGGTCACTTGACTTATTTTTAGATCTTACTTTGCTGAACATTAATGCTGTTTACAGTTTATCTCTATCTATAATAATATTCAAGATAATTACAAAAAACTGTAAAATGTCCTTAAAATAACTTATTCAGGGGCAGCAACCCAACAACGGCTTGTCTGATTCGTCTGAAAATTTTAGGACAGATAGATCTTAACCTGATAAAAATGTTTACCCAGTGTCAAATTTGCTCTAAATGCTTTAGTTTCAGAGATATAAGCCAAAAACTGCATTTTATTCCTGTGTACTATTTTAGTCATGTCGGCCATCTTGATTGGTTGTTGGGGTCATCGGACACATTTTTAAAACTAGATACCCTAGTGATGATTGTGGCCAAGTTTGGTTTAATTTGATTGAGTAGTTTCAGAAGAAAAGATTTTTGTAAAAGATTAATAAAATTTACGAAAAATTGTTAAAAATTGACTATTAAAGGCAATAACTCCTTAAGGGGTCAATTGACCATTTTGATTATCTTACTTATTTGTAGATCTTACTTTGCTGAACATTATTGCTGATTGCAGTTTATCTCTATCTATAATAGTATTCAAGATAATAACCAAAAACTGCAAAATTTCCTTAAAATTACCAATTCAGTGGCAGCAACGCATCAACGGGTTGTCTGATTCATCTGAAAATTTTTAGGGCAGATAGATCTTAACCTTTACTTCTGTCAGATTTGCTCTAAATGCTTTAGTTTCAGAGATATAAACAAAAAACTGCATTTTACCCCTATGTTATATTTTTAGCCATGTCGGCCATCTTGGTTGGCAAGCGGAGTCATCAGACACATTTTTTAAACTAGATACCTTAGTGATGATTGTGGCTAAGTTTGGTTAAATTTGGCCTAGTTGTTTCAGAGAAGAAGATTTTTGTAAAAGTTAACGGACGACGACGACGGACGACGACGGACGACGGACGACAGACAACGGACGCCAAGTGATGAGAAAAGCTCACTTGGCCCTTTGGGCCAGGTGAGCTAAAAAGTAAAAGTAGCAAAAGTCGTGATTGTCATTTTTTAAGTTTTCTTTTTTGTACAACCAAAAACAAACTTTGGATTACCTATTTAGGAATAAAAAGGTTAGAGGGAGGAGCCCACAAGTTCAAACCCACTTAACTTTATTTCAACACTTAAATGGAACTAATTCAAACACATTATCTCCCCTTCATTGTAGGTTTGCAAAATATTTCCTTTAGTCAGTATAACAATTGCACAATTATTTTGTGACCTTTTGGTTTATATTGATTGTAATGAAATGTGTGAGTTTTGTTTTGTTCAATATTATGCAGCCCAGATTGTCATACTGAGGGGCTTTCTGTATTTTTTCTTATATTTTTTGTACAAATGAATAGGGCAAATACAAGTTTGCTTTATATTCTCTCCTAACCTCTTTTATTTACTATACATAGGTACTACATATATAAGATGTAGAGCAAACGAGGTTTCATTCATTAGACAAAAACTGTGAAAATACTGTAGAGTTAAGAGAATTATTGCTGCCTTTTGATTTCATTTTATATAAGTGTAATCAATCTAAATAGCTCGAGGTGTTACAAGTGCACTTTTCTTTTCTTTTTACTTCATATCAACTGTTTGTTTCTTAAATAGATGCATACATTTGTTTAATATTTGTTTGTAGCATTTTGAAGCTCATTTTCTCAGTCTTATTTTGAATATTATATAATCAAAGTAGTTTTTCCAAGTTGGTTTACATGTTCAAGGTTTTCTTGAATAGTCATTTAATTATAAATAAATACAGAAGGTACAGATGTCAGTTTGACAAAAAATTAAAGGACTGGCACTTTTTGCATGGCCCTTATGGTGATTATTTTTAATTGAAATCGACTTGAAACACTAAAAACAAGAATGTGTCCTTAGTACACAGATGCCCCACTCGCACTATCATTTTCTATGTTCAGTGGACCGTGAAATTGGGGTCAAAACTCTAATTAGAAAGATCATATCATAGGGAACATGTGTACTAAGTTTCAAGTTGATAGGACTTCAACCTCGGCAAAAACTACCTTGACCAAAAACTTTAACCTGACTTGACCAAAAACTTTAACCTGAAGCGGGACAGACGGACGGACGGATGGACGGACATACGAATGGACGAACGGACGCACAGACCGAAAAACACAATGCCCCTCTACTATCGTCGGTGGGGCATAAAAACTATAAAATGGAATAAGGACCAATAACTCATTAATACACAAGATATATACGCTAAATTGCATCGTGAACCCATTTTTGAATTTACTTTGAAGTTCGGTTTTTTTGTTATATTTTTTTAATTCGCTTCAATCAGAAATCACGTGTTTTTGCACGATGATCCTTATCATCTATTTTCGTTTCCAAATATCATTGCAGCTGAACATGATAATTTACATTTTTGTGTTCATTTTAGGCTCTGTGGAGAATGGGAAATGTTACAATAAATCAAGGTAATCTTAATATTGTGTCAGGGAAAAAGAGAATTAGTTAATAAGAGTTATTGAAAACTAAAATGATGAAGATAATGGATGGCTGCCTAACGTCCAGCGGCAAATCAATATGCATGTTCAGGACGAGAACATGTTAATGTTATATGAATATTAACCCTGCTTTGTACTAGACCAACACGCCTAGCCAGACTTGTAATGTGCTAGTTCACAGGGTAACAGTCCACAGGAAGACACTCCGAGTCGACCAGTCTTTGTTCTTACTCCTTAATGCCGTGTGCTTAATTACCTTAGCTGTATTTGGCAAAACTTTTAGGAATTTTTGGTCCTCAATGCTCTTCAACTTCGTACTTTATTTGGACTTTTAAATATTTTTTGATTCGAGCGTCACTGATGAGTCTTTTGTAAACGAAACGCGCGTCTGGCGTAAGTGTAAAATGTTAGTCCTGGTATCTATGATGAGTTTATTTAGCGAGGAAGCAGCAAATACCAATTCCAAAGTCTTTGGTTTGACCCGGTCAGGGTTCGCACCCCCGACCTCCTGCACTCGCTTGAAGCAAGTAACTAGTATTTGTTTCATTTCAGTTATGCATGATAACTTAATTTCTTCAAATTGCTTTTTCATTCTACAGCAATGGTGTAAATAAGGCATGGTTTTGTTGTAATAATCACGAGGAGAGGAATGACAAGTGTAAAGGTATGTTTAGTCTGTTGATATCTGTGAAAAAAAATCGCTGATAAAAATACTAAAGTAGGAATCTAACGGAATTTGATATCTCATACAGAAAATGAGAGACATTGATAGCTAGTGTTCCCCATCAAAGAGTTAGATTTACCTGATTTATTTGGGTTAACACACACACATTATAACCTTATGATAGAAACTGAGTTGTCAATTTGAAATTGCTTGCTTGATCGATACCAATTTAAGAATTCAACGAATTTAGTCAAATGAATCCCGAAAAAAACTCTTAAATGAAAAATGCCTCAGAAGAAACCCTACCCCACCCACACAAATCCCGACGTTTATGATAAAATGTCATACCTTTCAATCATATAATTACATCTGTTTCCATGAATCGGTCACAGGTTGCACTTCTGTAAATATGGACAATGTAATTTCCCATAGGAACTCCCTTTACGGCTAAAACTGTGCCACTTTTACTATGAAGTTTCGTAAAAAATTATATCCTAGAATGGAAAGTTGATATGCACTACTATGTTATTCAAAGGTCAAAATATAGGGCTGTGCGGCATATTTTCAACATTTATATGCCCCGAACTTCTAAGAGTTTAAACTTATACTAAAATTCTGTACTGCCCCTCCCTTCACTTTGGGTCTTCCTCAGAATTCAATTTTGCCGCTACCATGTGTATTTATACTGGTAACATTCCCAACTATGACATGAAACATAGAGATTATATCTGAGTCCAGTACGTAAACAAAAAACAAAATATCTATGAATATTATATATCTCCCCAAAAGAGGCGTGGTTTGTGAAACAGCTGTATTTACAAAGTGCAACCTTAACTGAGAACATGGTACAAGGCAAATTGGTGCTATCAGAAATACAAGAAAATACAACATGCATTTCAGATAAGATAATACGCTCTTAATGTTATAATGTCTTTAATATTAAATATAATAGTAAAATACGAAAAAGATTGCATTTATACTTAAGCTGTTATGTGAAAATGGATTTTCCGTTGTCGTATACAAGCTACAAATGTTTATTAACTAAGAAGAGGAACCTGGTATATTTTTTTATAGAATGTGAAATTGGTTATGTTTCGAAGGACGGATTCCCGTGCATTCCTTGTTCACCTGGAAGATGGGGCAAGAAATGCGTGGATACTTGTAGCTGTCAACATAACGAGAGGTATATCATCCGTGCCGCATGTCATTTTTTTCAAAACTATAATGCCGGGAAATTAGCTAAATATACCTGAATACCAAAATAATATATGGCATTCTGAACTTTTTAAATAAGGGTTCTTTCTTATTATTATTAAACATGATATTATGAATAATTCACTATTACTTTAGTCATGGCACTAAGTTTTAAAACTCTATGTTCAGCAGACATCAGTAGTTACCTCTATTCCAAACTTTCAGAATAATCTGTCAAAAAACTGTATTGAACTGTTTCGAAGCAGTAGTTCATGTTCACATTATACGGACTTCATTTACAGGAGCGTGCTCCTTACACACAAACTGCTCCAACAGATTCATGAGAAAGAACGACTTAAATCGACACTTTATAAGTTGTACAGTCGCCATCACGAATTGGTCTGTGTCTCAAATCAGTAGCGACATGTTTTGGCGGTCATAGCTCTTTAGATAATAGTTTTGTGGTCTGCTCTGTAAATTTGAGAAGGAATTCACGGTAACAAAACACCTGAGGGAATCGCATGAATAACAACAGGTTTGAGAACGGATCCTCAATAGTGTAAGCCTGTTATGTATGCACCATCCGCCATAAGAATCAACATTCACAAACTGTTCTAGGTTAGAGCAGTCAACAGTGTCAGGAGAGTAGACTTGTTCTTGAACAGTTCTCGTTAACAGAGCAAGTCAAATTGAAAGAGCGATTTCAATTTATGCCAACTATACTGTTATTGTATACCAATGATCTATTTTTTTTTGCACAGTTCAAAGGTTTGTGAAGTTGGTGTTTGATTTATGTCAAAACAAAGTGTTTTATTTATATAAATTACATAGCGAATGACGGAATGGGAACGAGAGAATGCATGCTATTTGTTTTGTTGTCGTTTGGTAGCATACTCGTTGATAACTTACAGTTATGGATTCACGACTCTTTCAGATGTGATAACGTGTATGGATGTGTTGAGGGGACAACTATGTCAGGTAATACTAGATTATTATTTGTTTTCACAAAATCCCTCCATTGTGGTCAAAAGGAAAGACGGACCCCTGACTTGAAACCAATTATAATACGGATAATAATAATAATAATGTCATTATCATTATTATCATTATCATTATCATTATCATTATCATTATTATTATTATTATCATTTTTATCATCATAATACTGTACATTCAAAACTTTCATTTTTGATTTCATTACTGTCAAAATTATTCTGTTTACTCATCAATAGGACTGACTATGTATTTCGTCGAGTTTAACGAGAAGAATCATTTTTTTTCTAAAGACTCACCAGCGACGCTTGATTAAAAAAGTTAAAAGCCAAATCAAGTACGAAGTTGAACAGCATTGACGATCTTAAATCCGAGAGTGTTTGCAAAATACAGCTAGGTGATCTATTCCTGGGGTTGTAAATTTCGAACAATTAAAAATTCAAAATGGCAATTGCAACGAATCGCCTTCAAATATAGACTAATGAATTTCTAGTAAAGAGGATGGTTGGAAAGATAAAAGAGGGATTACTAACTTACTGCATACAATTAGAAACAGAAAAAAAACCATAAAGGTATAAAAAAAATAATAGATTCAAATTTAGGATAATCTAGTTTGGTTAATTTTTTCATGATTTCATCCATTTGTAATGACGATGCATCTTATTGTGTTTGCTACATTTTCCCCGAAAAAGAGGATTTCGTGTAATTTCTTCTAACCTTATAATTTTAGAACAATGGCAATTATACACTTTATTATGACATTTTATCATTAAAATACTAAACATGATGATGTTAGCTTTTGCTTCGATTTTAGGCTCTGTTGAAAGTGACAAATGTTACAAAAATACAAGGTAATCTTAACACTGATTTATAATGTTTTATAGATTATCGAATATATAACATGTACACGGATAATGTATTAAAGATAAGAACATGAAGTATTATTGCCAATGAGACACCAGTCTTGTGCCCGATGTTACAAGTTGTAAAGTTTATATGATGATCCGGTCAAAATTACTTATTGGAGTTGAACAAGTTATAATCAAATTGTAAAATTAAAAAAACATGTTGACTTCAAACATAGTTAAATAGATATTTTGTTAAATAATTGTATTCAACGAATCTAAAAAGTAAAAAAAATGCATTATGACAATACGCTGTATCAAGTTTTATCTATGATTATGTTAATTTTGAACTTTATATAAACGATCAACATGGTGAATAAAATTCATAACACGACATAATGGTCGCTAAATATTATAAATTAAAATTGCATAACATAACACGACGGGTTTCACTTGTGCAACAGAACTAGCCCTTACGAAGCACCATAGTTCACTACCGGTTTTGAGTGGTTTTTGGGGTTCGTATTGCTCAGTCTTAATTTTTCAATGTTGTTTTTTTGTATACTGTTGTTTGTCTTTTGATCGTTTACTCGTTTTTTGCCATGGCAGTGTCAGGTCGTTTTCGACTTATGAGTTTTTATATAGCTTTGATATTTTCAGCTTCTCTTTGACTTAATAAGATTATAAAAAGATTTCTATGCTTTCACAGCAATGCAGGAACTAGATCTTGGTTTTGTTTTAATAATCACGAGGAGAAAAATGGGATTTGTGTTGGTATGTTATCTGGTATCTATGATGAGTTAAATTTGTTTATCATAGAATAATATAATGCAAAGAGGGGGTTCACGAGCTGTTGAAATAAGTAGTTTGTTTTTATCTCTTTTAAATATGGCTGAAAAACTTCTCATTTTTAGGAATATTCATTTTAAATGGCAAAATTTGTATCTTTAATTATATATGATTTGTTCTGAAACGTTCGATTGGTCCAATTTTTCCATAATTTATAACAGATTGTAACACATTAGATAAAGTTAACTAACCACAAACCCTGATCCCCAAAACATAGTTGTTTTCTAGGAAATCAATTTAAACCTTGGAATCTTTTGGTCACAGAACATTTGATTGTTAGTTTGCGGATTTTGTTTTCCTAAATCAATTTAAGTATAGTTATGCACACAATCTTCGTTATTTTTACTACATCTACTAAATGTACTTATTTTGAAGCCTATAAACTCTTATGAACACTTGTGTTTAATCTAGCATTTGTAATTTTCGAATTGATTAATTTAAAACCAAATTGTGGCCTATGTGATATTTTATGATAAGGTTGAAATTCAACGTCATATTTGGACATAAGTGAACCTTGTTCTTTGTAGCTGAAAATTTACTTTAAGCATCATATTTAGAAACAACGAAAAGCAGTATTCCACTTTGAAAAGTTACAACAAACAGAAATAGTTTAGTTTTAATACTTGCCTGAGCCGAAAAAGACAACCTTTTTTTTAGAAAAAAAAACTGCAACATTGAAAGTGGTCGCCTGATTCCGGCAAACAAGAATTAAATTTGAAAAGTTTCTAAAATGTATGTTGATGTTATCGATAAATCGAATATTGTTATTAGCTGAAATGCCTTGGTTCTTTCTGGTTTTGATCTGATGTTCAGTTAAATAGGTTTGTGGAAAGCTATTGTATTCCTGCTGACCTTCAAAATAAAACATTTATAAAAACTCATAACAGAACATAGTTTATAATTTATACGCCAGACGCGTGTTTCGTTGACATAATATAAATTAAATTCAAGTACCAATTCATATGGTTGGTAAGCTTGTTATAGTTAAAAAATTTAAATAACACATTACAAATTCCGTGCGTCCGAAGCGCTTTTCTGGATTTACCTTCATCAGAAACTCTCAAAGCCGACTACTTGAAAGCCAATGATGTATAAGAGAAGAAACAGTTAAAGAGCTATATGAACAAAAAAGACCTATAAAAATAGCCAAATCCATCTAAGGTCAACTTTGCTTGAGGGAGTTGAAACCTTAGTTTCTTATAATATCAAAATTGATTTACGGACAATTTTAGAAAGATTTGTTATAAAATAATAAATAATCAAAAAACTGCTACGTATCGGCAAAACTAACCACAAGGTGTGTTGAAATGTCGACGTTAACAGAAATCAAAGCAAATCATACAAGCCTTGTCGGAATATATACAGTAGATATATAATAAGGAGATGTGGTATGATTGCCCATGAGTTCAAACATTTTATATAACATATAACTAATGACATGTTTTTGTTTTTGCAAAAATCATATAGGATTAAATGCCTTTTTAAAGGAATTTATTGGTGTATAAACTCGACCAATTCACTCACAAACAAATAAAAGTCCGAAGGACTTTTATGATATGTTTGTGAGTGACTTGGTCCAGTTTATACAGCAATAAATTACTTTAAAAAGGCGTTTAATCCTTATAATTCTTTAAAATTGGAGATAAAGAATTGATTTTTCCACATTCGTAACCTCTGTCACACGTATATTGTATATTTGTGTTATTGAATTGGCCTGGTGCATGAATATATGTGTTGGTTAACGCAAAAATATGTACTCCGTGAAATTTGCTATCTGATAAAAAATAAACTACAAAAATAACTTGTTATCATTCAAATGAATGTTTTTATGTTTATTATTTAAATTAACGATTAGCGCGAAGTGAACATAAATATTTTTAACGTCGAGCCGGATTGTGTAATTATCGCCGCCATCTTGTTTACATTGGTAACAAAAAGTAGTTCGGTCAACGTCGTCTATCGAAAAATAAACAACGTCAAGATCCACTACCGGAAGCCCTCTCGACCAATCATATTAACGTATTCCCTAATATGCAAACCATATAAGAATTATTAATAATTAAATACCAAATAAGTAATGTTGTTTGATTTATCCATAATAACTTTGAAAAGGTAGTGCTTTATTTTGTGTAGAATGTGAAATTGGATATGTTTCAAAGGACGGATTACCGTGCATCCAATGCGTAGATGGAACATGGGGAAGAAAATGCGGATATCCATGTAACTGCCAAGATCACGAGAAGTATAATATACGTTGTTCATAATCTTTTTTTAGAATTACTTTGTCACTGGCTGTGTTAAAAAATACAAAATGACAAATATGATATAGAGCATATTAAACGAACAAGAAGTTTGTAAGAGTAGAGTTCTTTATATGTAGAATCATACCTTGTACGTCTATAACAAAAGTACGCGCGTTTTGTCAACAAAAGACTCGAATTTACACACCTCGACGATCAAATAATAAGGTAAATTGGAAGATCATTGAAAATCAAAGATTTCAAAACGATATGACAAATTTGACTAAGGCTATCTATGTTATGTAAGTAGATTCTTAGTATTTCAAAAAATGTTACCAATTTTGAAACAATAATTTTACACAGTCGAATCAATGATATTTTATGCCAACAAAAAAAGGCTAGCTACTGGGCTGTTGATATAGTCTGGGATGAAACGTCAACCAGTAGTCGCATTGACCTAGTGGTTGTAAAGGCATATATCCCAGGCTTTCAAATTTTAGAATTCATGCCCAACAACGAAAAGTAAACGCGAAATTGCATGTTTTCGATATTTTTATGTCTTTTAATGGAAGCTGTTTCGGTGATGTATACTTTACGCCTATGTAAATCTTGTTTCTTACAGATGTGATTTTGTGCGTGGATGTGTTGATGGGACAAGTTTTATGTCAGGTATCAAGATTGTTTTTTTTTCGATTATTATTTGTTGTCAAATTTCTCTCAAGATGTAAGTATTTGTACAAGTATCCATTGTTTAACAACAACAATCAGATAACAATAATACTTATCTTAGTTAGTTTATCGTATAGCAATTACATATTTCAGACAGAACGTTGTCTGAATTAGCGAGCAATAATATATAAAACTGCACTAGTTAAAAAAAAAGGCTTCAAATTGCGACTTCATTAATATTAAAAATAATAATTAAACAAGTTTTCAAGCTTGCTATATAGTAAAGGGATTATTGCATGAATATTGTAAATATTATTCAATTATAAAAATCATGTGCATCCAGCAGTTCGTGCAACATAGATATATACTGTATTTGGGACAATATTAAACATTCAACCTCTATTTTTGTAATGTCTGTCACAGATATAATTGACAATGAATTCCTTACCGCTATATGCGTCCTAGATATTTTGGTTGTTCTGTATTTTGTTTTTGTTTCTAAAGCATTTTAATGGCCGTTCTTTTCTGGTTAATAGAATTGAGAATGGAAATGGGGAATGTGATAAAGAGACAACAACCCGACCAAAGAGCACAAAACAGCCCAACGCCACCAATGGGTCTTCAACACAGCGAGGAAATCCCGCACCCGGAGGCGGGTTTCAAATGGCCCCTAAACAAAAATGTGTACTAGTTCAGTGACAATTGACGTCACACTAAACTCCGAAACATATAAATGAACTAAAATTAAAAAAAACATTCAAGACTAACAAAGACCAGAGGCTCTTGACTTTGGACAGGCGCAAAAATACGGCGGGGTTAAACATGTTTTGTGAGATCTCAACCCTCCCCTATACCTCAAGCCAATGTAGAATAAACAAACACACAGAAAAAACGCACAGTAAAACTCAGTTTAAAAGAAGTCCGAGTCCGATGTCAGAATATGTAATTGAAGAACTAAGCAAAAAGACAATGATACATAAATTAACAAAGGACTACTAGCAATTACCTACATGCCAGCTCCAGACCTTAATTAAATTGATTGAAAGATTATGTCTTCATCACATGAAAACCAAGCACAATCCCTCCTGCTAGGGGTTTAGTATCATACCATCATAAATATATACGAAAAACATAACACGTATCAAGCCAACAACTGGTTTTAGAAAAAATGGGTTTATTTCCGATGCAAAGACCCTATGAATGAATCAATATTAATTCCAATATCCACATATATGTCAAGCAAACTCCTGCAATACTCTGCCAAATTTGCAAAAATATTTGCCCGTGATTTATGACAGGATCATTAATTATACCAATCTTTATTTAATAATGCTGTTATTTTAACGACTTATTTGTGAAAAATATGTTGCAGGAAGTCGGGAAAGAACAAAACCTACAGAAATGACAACAGCAAATAGTGTTTCAAAAGCTCAAACAAATGGTAATTTTGATTTTTATATATTAGAAAACGGCTTAGATAGGCTAACTGACCGTACGAACATGTTGTTGTTCGTACGCTCGTAGTAGTTGTGATCTGTTGTACTATCAAGTTTTTATATGATAAAAAATAACAGATTAAAAGTAGTCTCCAGCCTGCAATACTCGTATTAGTCAATTATAAGTAAAATAAAACGGTAATGGATACATTTGGTGCGTTCGAAACACTATTTCGGGATTTTCCTTCATCACGAGTGCCTAACTAAAGGAAGGTGGAGATGAGCTTGAAAAGCAGTTACGTGAGTTCAAATAATTTCCTGTGTCAAAAAACAACTTTTTGGAATACGCTTTCGAATTTTTTGCTAGATCTAAATTTACTATTTTATTTCATACAAAACATGCAATTTTAACAGGAACAGCGATGTATTCATGCGTTACATTATCAGTTATATAATGCTCTAAGGCGTTTTGCGTACATATATATAAGAAGATGTGGTATGAGTGCCAATGAGACAACTCTCCATCCAAGTCACAATTTGTAAGAAGTAAACCATTATAGGTCAGAGTACGGCCTTTATCACGGAGCCTATTTAAAGATGTGGCTGTATACATGCAAAATAAACGAAAACAATAAGAGAATTGATTTGATTTGAATTTCAACATGATATCAGCAATTTATTAACAGTACGTATTTGATACTGTTTTTAATTGTCTGATTCTGAAGAAGAGCTGACTTCCAAGGCTTTCAATATTTTAGGAATTTTCTTAGCCATGAACTTCTCATAGTTTACCTGATTCTTTTTAACTAGCTGCATCAATGGTGCTGTTTTTGGCTCGGCTTTTTTTTTGCACAAGGTCCGGGCTGCTGTTCGTCAGATTGTTGACCGCCTTTCTCTTCCACTGCAAGAAGTTGTTGTTGCCCGTCCATCTCTTCCACTGCAGGAATATTTGTTGCCAATCCTCTTCTTCGACTGCAGGACGTTTTTATTTGTTATTTTTTTTTTCATCCACATGACATTTCAACATGAGATTCGTCACTAGACTAATAAAATATATCCAAATAGATGTCCTCTGATGGCACCCTACACACGCCAACAGCAAAAAAAGGGAGGTGTCGAAAAATAATCGTTTTACAAAGAATACAGAATTACTGTTGAACATTCAATTGGGGAATTGAAGAACTATAAAGTTATGGGAAGACTTTGGAGATATCCCAAGAGGATTATAAATATTTGTGTTGATTGTGTGTGCAAGCTTCACGACTCGTTTCGTTGATTCAAATTAAAATACATCTTTTACGTAATTCGCTTTTCAATTTTTCAACATTCTGCACTTTGAAATGGCCCCTATCAATGTAAACAAAAAAATTTAAACAGTTTTCGAAAATGTCTAATAATCAACTATTGAGCCTTACTTTTATTTTTAAACTTCACGATTCTGTAATTTCTTAAAACGTAACAATGATCTACTCACTGAACAAAATGTAAATAATTCTACACGTATTTTAAATTCTATCAGATATAGTTGAAGAAAAAATGTAGGGGCACACCGAGATGATCACTCTTGTAGAGGTAGAACTTAACACCCTAATTGAACAATTCAAACTAGCTTGATTAAATGTACATTTCTCTCTTCCTTTTTAGATCGATTACTCCTGATTGTTTATGTATTGGGTACAGGAAGTATTGCAGCAATGGTTTCTTTAGCATCATGTTGTTTCAAATACAAAAGAAAACTGGATCAGTCTTACAATGCAAGATCCCAAACAAAGCACGATAACAAAGCTGCTACCGATTGGAAAGATGTTTGCCGGAACAACGAAAGAGCCAAAGATTTCTTTAATGGGAATATAATGATTGATAATAGTACGTTGATACGTACTGCAACAAACAATGAACATGTTAATGAAGCCGGAATTCGATATTCTGCAAGCGTCGACCAAGATTGGATTAGTAGATCATTTTCATTTTCCGACGAAGAAGTAAACAAACCTGCAAATGAAGGCGATTTAAATTTATTTCAGTCAATGATAGAAGTCGACATACATCACACATTACAGGAAGACACCACACAAAACTTTGAAAAGATGTCTTCTGGACATTCAGTTGTTCCAAAATACGGCAATATCCAACCATATATACACATGATACCTCACTGTGATGTTAACGAATATACTTGCTGACAGAAAAAAAAAACAAAACTGACATTAGCATCGTTTTTTTATAGGTGAAGGTTTTGCTTGAACCTGTCCTATTTAATGGATACATTGTGTGAATGTGTCATTGCATGTTTTAGTCCGTTTATGTAGCATTATGTGCATTGCATTGGAACGTGCTTTTCATGTTTGCTTGACACTTTTTGTGCGATTTTTCTTTTGTGGTTTCAATTTTATGGCTCAACTTTACATATTGTAAAGAAGCCTTTTTAATGTTTAATAATATAATTTGCCATCTTAATGATTTTGGTTTCGTTGGGTTGGGGTCTCATTGAGGTCTTACCTGCATCTAATGTTATTCATACCTACGATTCCAGTGCATTGTAAATAACCAGTAAAGCATTGCATGTTGCTGTTCACCCTTCAACTATTTCTGCCAATCGGAGGGCGCTAAGATAAGTGAGATGTGTACATGTGTTCTGAAAGGTAGTTTGATTGAAAGTAAAGGTATGAAATTAAATTGCTGACACTGACAAATAAGAGTATGTTGGTTTGGAGCAGACAATTTACGGACTTCTCAGAAAGCGGCTGCAATGGCTATCCAATGGTACAATCAGCGTTGCACTCACCCTTAACGGGGATTAATATTTAACGTCATCTTTCCCGTCAAAGGTGGATGAGCATTCAAACACCCAAAAAAAAATCAACCGGACAGTCATCTTTAGCAAAGG